TGTCCACGAACACCGAATATCTCTTCATTTGCTTACTTCTTAGAGTCATCAGTTTTATATTTTTCATTATATAGATTGTGTGCATACTTGTTAGATACACACTTACGTATTTCATTTTGGGGAGGATGTTCATGTAAATGGTATTGTTTTAAATTTCAAATCCCACTTATTCATTGCTGGTGAATAGGGGGAAGTTGATTGACTATGTACGTTAACTTTGTATCTTGCTGTAATTGCTTATTCTAGTTTGTTTGTTTGTTTTTTTTTAATTCGTTTGGATTTTCTGCATAGGCAATCGTCATCTGTGAACAAAGACAGTTTTATTTCTTTTTTTTTTCCAATGTGTATACTTCTTTTCTTGTCGTATTGTGTTAGGTTGGACTTCTAGCACAATTTTGAGAAGCAGTGATAAGGAGGCATTCTTTCTTTGTTCTTGATTCTAGTGGGAAAACTTTGACCGTCTCACCATTAAAAGTTTGGTTAGCTGTAGGTTTTTTGTAGATATTCTTTATCAAGTTGAGGTCAAGGTCCCCTCTATTCCTAGTTTGCTGAGTTTTTATCATGAATAGGTACATGCTTTTTCTGCATCTATTGATACAATCGTGTGATTTTTCTTCTTTAGCCTGTTGATGTGATGGATTACATTAACTTATTTTCAGATGTTGAACCAGCCTTGTATACCTAGGATAAATCCTACTTGGTCATATCTAAAATTCTCTTTATACATTGTTGGATTAGATTTGCTAATATTTTGTTGAGGATTTTTACACCTATGCTCATGACAGATTCAGTTTGTAGTTTTCTTGTAATGTCTTTGTCTGGTTTTGGTATTAAGGTAATGCTGGGTCATAGCATGAGTTTAGGAGGTATTCTCTCTTCTCACTTTTGGAAGAGAATATAGAAAATTGGCATAATTTCTTCCTTAAATGTTTGGTACAATTACCAGTGATCCCATCTGGGCAGGCCTGGTGCTGTTTTTTGAAAGTTATTAATTATTGATTCGATTTCTTTAATAGATATAATCCTATTCAGATTGTCTCTTATGTGAGTTTGGCAGCTTATGTCTTTCAAGGAATTCGTTCATCTAGGTTATCAAATTTGTGGGCGTAGAGTTGTTCATATTCTTTTATTCTTTTAATGTCCAGGGGGTCTGTGATGATGTCCCCTCTTTCATTTCTGGTATCAGTAATTTGTCTTCTCTTTCTTGGTCTGGCTGGAAGCTTATTGATCTTTTCAAAGAATTAGCTTTTGGTTTCATTGATTCCTCCCCCTTCCCCACCCCTAACCCCAATTGACTTTGTTTTCAACTTAATTGATTTTTGCTCTAATTTTTATTACTTTTCTTCAGTTTACTTTGGTTTTAATCTGCTCTTCTTTTTCTAGTTGCCTAAGAGAGCAGCCTAGATTATTGTCGATCTTTATTCTTTTCTAATATATGCATTAAGTGCTAAAAATTTACCTCTAAATATTCCTTTTGCTATACTCCACAAATTTTGATAAGGATGTATTTTTTTCATTCAGTTCAAAATATTTTAAATTTTTTCTTGCAATTTCTTCGTTATTTATTTTTTAGAAGTGTATTGTTTAATCTGCACGTATTTGGGGGGATATCCCAGCTATTTTTTTTGGTATTGATTTCTAGTTTAATTCCATTGTACTATGAGAACATACACTGTGTCTTATAGCCCAGAATGTGGTCTATCTTGGTGAATGTTCCATATGAACTAAAGAACGTGTATTCCGCTGTTGTCGAAGTAGTCTATATGTTTCCATTATGTCAGGTTGATTATGGTGTTATTGAGTTCAGCTGTATCATTATTGATATTCTGCCTGTTAGATCTGTCCATTTATGATAGAGAGGTGTGGAACTCTCCAGCTGTAGTAGTGGATTCATCTGTTTCTCCTTGCAGATACATGTTTTTGCCTTATGTATTTTGATGCTCTGTTGTAAGACATATATATTAAAGACTAGTATGTCTTCTTAGAGCATTGACCCCTTTATCATTATGTAATGCTTCTCTTCACTCCTGATAATTTACTCTGCTTTGACGTTTTCTGTCTGAAATTAATGGAGCCACTCCAGCTTTCTTTTGATTAGTGTTAACATGGCAAAGCGTTCTCCACTCCTTAATCTATAGGTGTCTTTATTAAAATTTAAGATGGGGTTTCGTAGACAACATATAGTTGGGTCTTGATTTTTGATCCACTTTGAAGACTATTGATGTTTAAAGTGATTTTATAGTTGGATTAATATTTACCGTACTTGTCACTGTTCTGTTGCCCTTGTTTTTTGTTCCTGTTTTCATCATCTATACTTTTGCTGACTTTTGTGGCTTAGCATTTTATATAGTTCCACTTTTCTCTTTCTTAGCATAGCCATTAAATTTTTTTTTTTAGTGGTAAATTGTGGTTCTCTGTATCCACTTTTCTAATTTGGGGAGAGACAGTTTTCTCTGTAACCTCTGATGAATCTAAGAGTTGTTGATTTTCTTGTTCACCTTTTACTTGTTAGGACGAAGTGATGACTTTTAAGCTGTGTACATGCTGAACCAGAAAACTATGTTTTTTACTTCTTACCTGCCTTAAATTTTTTTGTGTGTGGTAAAAAATGCATAACATAAAATATATCAACCATTTTTAAGTGTACATACAGTTCAGTAGTGTGAAGTATATAGTCACATTGTGTAACCAATTTCTGGAACATTTTTTATCTCGCAGAACTGAAACTCTACACCCATTTAACAATAACCCCCATTCTCCTTGTCCCCAGCGACCACCATTCTACCTTGTTTCTATGAATTTGGCTATTCTAGATACTCATAAGCGAAATCACACAGTGTGTCTTTTATGACTGAATTATTTCACCATGTCCTCAAGATTCATCCGTGTTGTAGCATGTGTCAGAATTTACTTAAGACATCTCATTGTATGTATAGATCAACTTTGTGTATCTATTCATCCATTGGACCTGTGGGTTCCGCCTTTTGACTATTGCGAATAGTGCTGCTGTGAACATAGGTATGCAGATCTCTTCAGTATCCTGCTTTCAGTTTTTTTGGATATATACCCAGAAGTGGAATTGCTGGATCGCATGGTAATTATTTTTAATTTTCCGAGGAACTGCCAGTTTTCCATAGTCGCTGTACCATTTAATTTTTCCGCCAACAGTGCACGGGGGTTCCAATTTCTCCACATCCTCACCAAAACTTAATAATTTTTTGCTTTTTTGATAGTAGCCATCATGATGGATGTGAGGTGATAGGGATCGTACTGTGATTTTGATTTGCAGTTCCCTAGTGATTAGTGATGTTGAACATCTTTACATGTGCTTGTGACCATTTGGATATTGTCATTGGAAAAATTTCTATTCAAATCCTTAACCCATTTTCAAATCAGGTTGTTTTTTGTTAATTAACATTATAGGAGTTCTTTATATATTCTGCTTATTAATACCTTATCAGATACATGATTAGTATCTATTCTTAACAAGATCTAAAGTTAATTACAATAACTGTTCTCTTTCCAAAGAATGCTTTACTTGAATTCTGATTTCTCTGACTTGTATATCTATCCAGTGTTTTAGTTCCACTTTGGTTTTTATCCTGCCCCTCCCCCTCAATTTTTGTTATTGTTTAACTGATTCAGTGCTTGTTTGGGTTAATTTCTTTGCTTATCATTCCTTCTTTATCTCATGCCTTCCTTAAATGATCAGTTCTTGTATTCCGAATAATTCTTTCAGTGAGGATCCGTTAATAATAAACATTAAGGTTTTCATTTTCCTTTTATTCTCATCTAGGTGCAGATTTAATTTTGGTTGAGACTTCGCTTCCTGAATATGAGGTTCCATTCCATCTTTTATCAGCTCTTGAGCATTCTTAGCTAGTAGCTCATCAGACACTGCCTTTCCCCATTCTCTCTATTCCTTCCTTCTGGACCGCCTTTTTTTTTAACTCGTGTCTATTAACCTCTTTCGGTGTTCAGTTCTGCACTGCCTTTTGTAATTTCCTCATATCTCTTCTTAACCACTACACTCTTCATGTGCATCTATTTGCTATTTTCCTTTCCATTTCTAGCAATTTTATTTGGTTACTTTAAAGATGATCTGATCTTTATTGATAGCATCTTGTTATTGTCTCCTGTTTTTGATTTCTTCTTTTATGACTTTAAATATTGAAATGTACTTAATTTGTGGTCACTAGCCTATCTTATTTGGTTCGTATTGGTATAAACTTCCTTTGTTCAGTCAAAGATTTGTCCTTATGTGTTTCGTAACTTGGAATTGTAAACTCAGGTTCACAGGACTTTATCTGTGGACTCCCGTGTGAACATGGTAGGGAATCTCTCTTTCCAGAGTATTTTTGTTTACCTCTGGTACGTTTCCCAAGGGTAATATCAGGCTGAGACCATTTTTAGGTACGGTTTGGTTCTTGGCGAGAGCAAGTCAGTACCAGACCACTCAGGCAGTGTAAATTTGAACTCTGAACTTAAATGAAGGCAGGCCCAAGATTATAAATTTTGTAGGCATACAGTCTTCCCTTTGTTCCCTAATAGAGCCCAGGTCCTGTCATCTTCCAGTGTCAACTTCAGAACAGTACTGGGGAAAGAAATGGTAGGCATCATTATCCCCATTTTACAACTAAGTCAAACTGAGGCTGTTTACTGACTCATTTCTAGAAGAGTTAATGACTTTCTCAAGATTATGCAGGTGGAAAATGGTAAAGATTTTCTTATAGCCTTCCATGAGAAATGAGGCATTCTTCTGTGTCATTTTGCCATGCTGCCATTGGTGGCATTCTTCATTATGTAGATATCAGCTCATTATCAGTCATAAAGAACCAGTGGTATCCTGTAAGTTTACTCAAATTCATTCATTCAACAAATCCGGGCACCTGCTGTGTTTTAGGCACAAGAATTACATATGGGAGCTCTTTTTACACCTGGGAGCTGAAATACAGATTTTATATTTGCTGCCTGACATGCTTTCTGCTTTCTTTCTGTAGACTGATAATGGTCTCCAGCTGCCAAAGAAGGTTGTGGATGCCAAGAGAAAGGTAACCATTTCTCGTCCCCTCGAGTGGAATTGGATGCCTCAAGGAACCCACATTGGCTGGCAGTAGACATGGCTGAGTTTACAAACTACAAGGATACTGCCTCCGGCCGCCACCTGCGGTTTAAGTTACAGAGTCTAAGCCGCCGCCTTGATGAGTTGGAGGAAGCCACAAAAAACCTCCAGAAAGCAGAGGACGAGCTCCTGGATCTCCAGGACAAGGTGATTCAGGCGGAAGGCAGCAACTCTAGCATGTTGGCGGAGATCGAAGTGTTGCGCCAGCGAGTGCTGAGAATTGAAGGCAAAGATGAGGAAATTAAGAGAGCAGAGGATCTGTGCCAGCTGATGAAGGAGAAACTTGAAGAGGAGGAAAACCTCACCCGAGAGCTGAAATCTGAGATTGAGCGGCTTCAGAAACGAATGGCCGAGCTGGAGAAGCTAGAGGAGGCTTTTAGCAGGAGTAAGAATGACTGTACCCAACTCTGTCTGAGCCTGAATGAGGAGAGAAACCTGACGAAGAAAATCTCCTCTGAGCTGGAAATGCTCAGGGTCAAAGTGAAAGAACTGGAATCTTCCGAGGACCGCCTAGATAAAACCGAGCAGAGTTTAGTGTCTGAGTTAGAAAAGCTGAAATCTTTAACTCTGAGCTTTGTAAGTGAGAGAAAATACTTGAATGAAAAGGAGAAAGAAAATGAGAAATTGATAAAAGAGCTCACTCAAAAACTGGAGCAGAACAAAAAAATGAACAGAGATTACACAAGGAATGCATCTAATCTTCTGGAAAGGAATGACCTACGGATTGAGGATGGAATCTCGTCCACACTGCCGTCCAAGGAATCAAGAAGGAAGGGCACGCTGGACTATCTAAAGCAGGTGGAGAATGAAACAAGAAACAAATCTGAAAATGAAAAGAACCGAAATCAGGAAGACAACAAAGTCAAAGACCTTAACCAAGAGATTGAGAAACTTAAGACACAAATCAAACATTTTGAATCTTTGGAAGAAGAGCTTAAGAAAATGAGGGCCAAAAATAATGACCTTCAGGATAATTACCTGAGTGAACAAAATAAAAACAAACTCTTAGCCAGTCAGCTGGAGGAGATAAAACTACAAATTAAGAAACAGAAGGAGTTGGAGAATGGGGAGGTGGAAGTGGAAGATGCTTTCCTGTCCAGCAAAGGCAGGCACGAGAGGACTAAGTTTAGAGGCCACGGGAATGAGGCATCTCTGTCCAAGCACACATCTCGGGAACTGTCCCCTCAGCATAAGCGGGAAAGGCACCGAAACAGGGAGTTGGCTCTCAATAATGAAAACTATTCTCTGAGCAACAGGCAGGTTTCCTCTCCCAGTTTCACCAACAGGAGGGCGGCCAAAGCTTCCAACGCAGGGGCAGGTACAGATAGTGGGACTCAGGAGACAAAGAGAACTGAAGATCGATTTGCATCTAGCTCCCCTCAGAGCGAAGGGAAGAAGTCCAGGGAGCAGCCATCGGTGCTTAGCCGCTACCCCCCAGCTGCTCAGGAGCACAATAAGGTTTGGAAGGGTACTCCCAAGCCGGGGACTGAGAGTGGGGTGAAGGGAAGAGTAGAGAAGACAACGCGCACATTTAGCGATACCACCCATGGATCTGTTCCCAGCGACATACTGGGCAGAGCTGACAAGGCTTCTGACACCTCCACTGAGGCCTTCTTTGGCAAGCGGGGTCAGGTGCCTAGCAGTGGAAGTCCGGTAACTCAGGCCACAGATCCTGGCAGTTCTAAGGCCACCGGAGCTCTGGCCTCGTCTCAGAGATCTTCAGAAGGGCTCTCTAAGGGCAGAAAGGCTGCCAATGGCCCTGAGGCTGATACCAGTTCCCCAAATTCCAAGGCTTCGCTTTTATCAAAGTATCCTTATGGCTCCAGAAGCCAAGAGAACATCCTTCAGGGCTTTTCAACCCCAAGTAAGGAAGGAATTGATCAACCCGTAGCAGTTGTAATGGAAGACAGCAGTCAGCATGAGGCCCTGAGGTGTCGAGTCATCAAATCCAGTGGCAGAGAGAAGCCAGACTCAGATGATGACATGGACATGACGTCTCTTGTTACTGCCAAGTTGGTGAACACAACCATCACCCCGGAGCCAGAGCCCAAACAGCCCACCTCTAGAGAAAAAAACAGATCTCGAGGGGGCCTTAGAACCTCCCTGTTCGAGGATGATAAAGATGTTGGACCAGAAAACGAACCTGTGAAAACTGTCAGAGCCTCCAGCAATGCCATGGAGTTCCCGGAGGCAAATGGTGCTGGGCTAAAAAGCCAACGGCCCTTCAGCCCCAGAGAGGCCTTGCGGTCTAGAGCTGTCATCAAACCTGTCATCATTGATAAGGATGTGAAAAAAATTATGGGAGGATCTGGAACCGAGGCCACATTGGAAAAACAGAAACTCACCTCCAAACCAGGGCCAAACAAAGTGACAAGCAGCATTACTATCTACCCCTCTGACAGCGGCAGCCCTAGAGCAGCTTCTGGCGAAGCCCCACGAGAGAGGCATACGTCTACCAGCAACATCCAGGTTGGGCCGCCGGAACTCACATCAGTTAGCAACCACGTCAACTCCCCCTTTGAGCTCTCCATTCACAAACATGACATCACCTTGCAGTTCACAGAAACTGAAAGAATGGGAGATGGACCCCTGAAGAATAGGCCTGAAACGGTGGTCTCTCGGAGCAGCATTATCATCAAGCCATCGGATGCTGTGGAGAGGAACAACCATGCGACCCCCGCGGAGACAATCAGGTGGAAAAGCCATAGTGCCCCTTCCGAGGTGAGCTCTTCAGATGCCAGGCATGTTACTGTGCGGAATGCCTGGAAGAGCAGGCGAGACTTGAACTCTTTAGACGACTCCCCAGCTCGAATAGGTAAAACTGTGGACTCTACCACTGCCTACGCCCAGAGGTCTTCCACAGACTATTCAGACCTTGAACAGACCAGGTCGTACCTTTCTGAGCAGGGCACTCGAAGGGTAGGCAATTCAGGTGATGCCTCCGAGCTTTCCTCCCGAAGGACCCAAAGTAGCCTGACCGTGTCAGAGGTGCTCACTCGTCGGAATCGGGTAGGAAATGCTGTCTCAGCTGCAGCCTGGAACCACTCGGCAGGCATGGTGAGTCCCACTCCTTTCTCTTTCTCCTGCTTTCCCTTGCCCCCTCCTTCATCTTTCCCTCTTTCTCCCTTGTCTGCTCTGTCCTGGCCTGTAAGACTCAGGATTACAGAGACGGTGGGGATGGGAAACACTTGGTATAGCTCAGAGAACTGTTGAAAATAAAGCCGGGTTTGTCCTTAAAGAAGAATAAAGTACCTTGAAGAAGGTGTTCGGCAGAGAGCAGCATGAATTTCCAAAGTCCTTTCCCAAATGTGTCTCTTCCATTTGTCGTCGTGTACAAAGGCCACACAAAAAGCAGAGACAGGGCTTCTGTTCTCTTGGTTTCGCCAGAGCAGCCAAGAGCTCCCCTTCCGGCTCTGGGAGCAGGGGGATGCGTTCCTGGCCGCCTCAGTTCAGACAGCTGGTCTCTGCTGGCTGCTGGCACGTGGGGTGAGGACAGCTGGGGCTCACACTGGGCCTACTTTATAAGCTTTATGCCTGGGCATCACTTTCTTTTGCCCCAGACACCTGTCTAGCCCATTATATCAGTCTGAGGGCAGGGCTGAGTCAGTGTGGCTCGTTACACGATAGGTAAATCCAGAACTACCTCATTTGAGGGTCGGACCGTCAGGACAGCATTTGAAGGGAGCCTCCCGGGTGTATCTTTTGGATGTGGAGCCTGTGGTGATGAAAGACATTTTGGACCTAGACATTATTCCCTTCTTTTAAAGGGCAGGTGACCGTGTTAACCTGACGAGCCCCGTAAGTTTTCACAGGGTGCTTAACACTTGACGAAGCACTTTCCCACCTACTTACCTTATTCAGTCTCTCCAACAGCCCTATGGGAAGGCATTCTCATTTTTTAGATGTAGAAATTGAAGGTCAGAGATAGAAAGTGCCTTACCTAAAGCCACCCAAGTGAATTGCTGGAAGAGCTAAGATTTAAATCCAGGAGTCCTGTCTCTAAATCCAGTCTTCTTTCTACCCTGCCAGCCTTTCTCAGACTTGGTCTCTGATTGCCATTTGCTTGGGTGGACCCAGAGCAAAACATAAAAAATACAGAAGTCTGGTAGAAAAGCAGTGGAGAGAAACATGGGTATTGAGCCCCCTGAAGCTTTGGATGTCTGAGATGTGATGAGGGAGGGGCAGCTATGGGACATAAAGGGGAAGGCATGTGAGCTTCTTGGTGGTTTACTTGGTGGGAGGCAGCTTCCGTTTCAGCATTCCGCCTACCTCCCCACCACAACGTGGCTCTCACCCTGGGGAGCATGCAGCCTGCCTATGCAGAACTTGAGGACCACTGGCTCCTACTTAGGGGTACCACTCCCATGTCCTGTTCCTGGCCCTGTACCCTATAAGGGATCCTGTTGAGTCGTGAGCCTCCCAGTCTCTGAAAACCCTGATTTCCTAGGAACTTTGACATTGGCCTGTCCTCAGGCCAAAGCACATCTCTGCAGTTATGCTGTGGTCTGTCTGCTCCCTCTACCAGTCTGGAGAGGACCACTGGGGAGTGAGTGATGGTGTCTGTTACTCACTATAGTTTCCTTCACAGCTCACTTTTGTACTTATTGGCACAGGAGGAAGGCGATGACTGCACACTCAGTGTCTCCAGGCGACTGCACAACTCCTTGGAACGGTCTGAACTGCCCGTGAAGCAGGGGCTGTCAGAGCCTGGGCGAGTACGGGCTGAGGAACGGTTACGGCCAACGAAGCCCTGTGCTGAGGAAAACTGAGCCAGCTGGGTGAGGTCTTGTTTCCTCTGCTCCTGCTTCTCAGCTCTCCCACCATCCCGCCCTGTGAAGGATCCAAGGCCAGTTAACCAGGCTTTGGCTGGGAGACTGTGGCAGAAAACCAGGCTGTGGCTCAGATCATTTTTGCCAGTTGGCCAGAAGGGATCAGAAATTACAAGCTGGACAGAGTCACTCAGGCCCAGCCTCCCCTGATTGATGCATGAGTCCTCTATCTTTGTCCCTGTCCCCCAGGTAGGATGGGCAACTCTGGCCCCCAAATGGGGAATGATACCCCTTATATCCCCACCACACAACAGCCCCTTCTGTGTGGTTAATTTTCTTATTTCTTAGTCTCCTCACCACATCCAGTTCACTCCTTGTCTGCCCTCGAGGCCGGAGTACCTACACTAAGACTGACCAGCCTTCGGCTTCATCTAGGGGGCTTCCATTCCTTTTCTCTTTGGAGTTCCTCAGACTTATACAGAAGAGGTCTGTGCTGCCTCTGAGGGATTATAGGACTACTCTTTAGGTTGAATTTGAAGCTTCTCTGACACGGCCCCCTTGCTGACCACTATTTTCTGGGGGCAGAGCACACGGGTACCCACCTATTGGAATGACACCATCCCTCCCCCACCCCCAGCTCTCTGCTCACCTTCCTCCAAAGGCACCCGGAAGTATATAAGCCTCATGCATCTCCTTCCCTGGGCACCAATAATGCTGCTGGCATTGCCTGCTCCTCTCCTGTGGCTGGAGACTTCTGGCTGACTTTGTTTCCACCTTTGGAATATTCTCAGACTAAACTGGGCCTGACCCAGCATATTCTGCCTTCTAGGAAGCGCCCAGCAAGTGGGAAAGTGGATAGGAAGCAGCAGTTTCCCTTTAGTCACTCCACAAAGCAATAGCTCCACGAAAGGCCTGGACTTTGTTCTTCTTCCTTCACCCCCATGGAGGAGGTGTCGCACTTTACCGAGCTGATGCATTCCTACAAGAGTGGGCCATGATTCCTGCAAACCAACTATCCTGATGACTTCCTGGGAGGAAAGGTAACATGCCCATCAAGGGCCCCAGGGTTATATAATTCAAAATGTCGCAAACTTTTCAGGAAGCCACATAAATAAAAATTGGTTAGTTTCCTTACATCATTCACATGGGAAATTAAGAACAACAGTACATTCTTGACACTGCTTTTTTCTGTAGCATTCTCTCAGTTCAAAGAAGGGATCCCCTGTCAGAGGCTACCTTTAGGAAGGCACTGTGGAAAGCATTAAACTGGGAGTTGGGAAAGTTGGATTTTCTTCATGGCTTTGTACTTCTTGCCTTGTGACCTTGGGCAAGTCATTGTCCTTGGGGCCTTAGTTTCCCTATTTGTAAAATGAGTTATTTGAAATGTTTTCCAAGGGTCCTAAATCTGGCATTCTGAGATTCTTGTGTTTTCACTGTCCCATGGGAGGCGAGTCTCACTTTAGGAAGGTATCATCCAAATGGGTTTGGGGAACGTATCCTTCCCACTGCCTCTGATTGCTTTCCTGGGTCCTTATTTTTCCCAGTTTCCCCATGTTTTAATGTTACGAGGTTGCTCAGAGAAGCTAAGCTCCCTTGGCCTCTTTTCCAGTCTGTAAAATGAGTTAGATTAGATGGTCACTGCGGCCCTTTTTGGCACCAGCCTTGCCCAATGCCACAGTGTCTCTTGGCTTCCAGGCCGGGTATTTTCCATAACACAGGTTAGCATGTCTCCTGTTCCTGTGTGTCCTGAGTTGTCTTCTCTGCCTCCACTCCGTGTGGGGACCAGCATCCGTCCCGCCCTCGTCTGCATCAGACTTGACAATCCTGGAAGCTTGGGGAGCTCCTACCTTACTTTCGGGGACAGGAACGTTTTCTGGAGTTTTGCCAGTCTAAGGGCATTGTCACGTGGCTTGCCTTTCACGTTGCTGCCTCAGTTGTTCAACTTCAGATGCCGTTTTCAAAATCTCTTCTTGCTGCTTCTCCTGGGTCACTGGCCAGAAACTAGCTTCTCAAGACTGCAACCTCTCACTTATAGCCTCCCTGCCATTGTTCACTGGTTGGCAAACCTCAGAGTCCAAAGGAAACCAAGTCTATGGCTCTTCTCTGCTGGTGGAAACAGAAGGGCACCAAGCCATGCCTACAAAGATCTCGCCAATAATTCTCCTCTGTGGGCTTTGGAGCCCTAGATTCTGGTGCTGTAGCTCCTGGTGCCAAAGTCTGGATCTTTCCATATTTCAGCAGCATCAACATCTGCCGCTACCCAAAATGCTCAATAGAAGAGGGACTACTGTAATGCCCTCCTGCTGGGGCTGCTGTCTTAAAATCTGAGTGCAATAGGGTTTAATTTTAACATTTCAGAAGTTTGTTTCATCTGCACACTTTCTAGAACCGCTGTAAAATAGTTTTTTTTTTCTTTTTTTAAAAAGTCCTCAGTATTGCAGAAAATACCATTAGTAATAGCCAGTGAAGGTTGGAGGCTCAGTTTCCTTGGGCTTCAAATGGCTGGCTCTCAAAGTCCAAAGCTGGAAGGCACGTTTCTGAAAAGCAACCTAGGTGTGACCATTCTGGACCCAGGCCTCACCATCAGGAGTCCTGGAGGAAACTTCCAAATAAAGGGGAGACCTGGTAGTTGAAGAGTTGTCTAATCAAGCCAAATATTCCCTGTCCCAGCCGTAAGCTCACTTTTATGACAAGCCTCTTCTGCAGCTTGGCTCTAACTCTGAATTTTACTGGCAGGTATATGATTGTGGGAGGGTTCCTACTGAGGTTGGGGAACCTGGCACTCCAGAGCTGCTTGCTTGGAGGAAGTAGAGCTGGCCTCTTCCGCCTGCTGTTGCCTGTCTCTTGCCACTCTGATACCAAAAACCACCAGAGAAAGCTGCAGGAATGGTAGGAAAAAGGAAGCTGTGGCTGTTGCTTTTGAGTGGCAATGAAACAGTTACAGTGTAGGTTAAAGGGATTCGCAGTGGGGCTAAGGACTCCAACCTTGGCCACAGGCAAGCTTGCACATAAATCATCCCCCTCACGGGGTGTGAGAGGGTCTATATTGATCGTGGAGTTGCCACTCTGGGGCAGTTTTCTTTATATTTAGTGGGTTAGTGCCAAGTGCTACCACTTCCCAGTAAAGGAATAAGGACCCAGCCTCTGGTCCCTAGCTGCCTTTGTTGGTGTGGGGTTCTTTGTTCAAGACTGCTTTGGAAGAGCTGCTTTTAGGGATTATCTTTTGAATACCCTGAGTGGGGAACAGGGTTCTCAAAGCCTCACAACCAAGATCATAGGAAAGGGGCCCTATTTTCCTGCTGCTTCACAGCTCAGAACATGTACTGAATGGAATGTATTTTTAAGAGAATAAAGTCTATTTTTTGTATTTTAAAGATTGGGAGGGCTAGGGAAGTAGCCCTCAAATAAACTGTTATTGCATTATAGGCCCCTTTGCTAAGGGGCATCAGTATCTGTCAGTCCACACCTACTTGCTCAGGCAGGTGCTCGGGTCTCACCCCTGCCCCTTGGAGTCTAGGTGCAGCAGCTTCTACGGCTCCAATGCTGTCTGTTGGCTCTCTGCAGCACTATGTAACCAATAAAGCTCCCTAGTTTCCATGTGCTCTTGTGTGAGTGTGAGTCAGTGATACCATTTTTGTTGATGTCATCTCTGTATACAATATCTTCTATGCATTGATGCAGCCAGGTATATTTCACTCTGTTTTACTTAAAATACTTGGTCAATTACTGATGCTGCAAGGTCAGGAAACATAGCTGAGGCTTAGAAAAGGACATGCTTAGAACCCATAACGAGTTAGAATCATAGAGCAGCTATTTCATTGCTATATTTTTAGGCTTTTCTGTTGTCAGACAATCCTCAGTCTGCCTGTGCCACTCATTTAAAAAGCAAAAACTTAAAAGCACTGACATTGGATCAGACACCTTAACTCCCCTGGGTAACAACAATGACAGAGCTAGGCTCCGAAGCCCATACACCTTCCATTGAGTGCTGTTCTCACCTTTCGTCAGTTAACACCACTTGGTCTGATCCTGGTGTGCACATTTTCCCCATTGCTGTCACTCATTCCAAGACTAGGGAAAAAACTCTCTCCTTCATCTTCCAGTCAGACCATCAATGTAATGTCCCTTAAATCTCACTAAGACTAAAACCTCATTTAGAAAACACAAGTAAATTGTAATTTCCAGAAGCAGATCACATACATGTATTTTTCAGAAGCCGGCCCGATCTGACCGCGACGGTCTTTCTCCCTAAATCCGGCTAATGACTTCTGACGCTCCTGTAATAGCCCGCTGAAATGTGAAAGGGTTAAAGAATAATTAAAACCTGAAACTGGACAAAGGAAGTCTATGACTTAGGCCTAGTTTCTGGAACCCCTAACCACATTCTGTTAATCATGAAACTTGGAACAATGAGCTCATACGCTAACTGCCAATTTTAGCCTGTGTAACCCTGCTTGCTTGCGTGGCATGAAAAATAATCAATCGTATATAAGCTGCAAATTACTGTTTGGCCATCGCCCATGGGAACACTGGCTATAGCCCATGGGAACATAGGCGATCACCCATAGGAACATAACGTTCTAACAACAAGCTTTCTGCTTCTGTACTCCCCGCTTGCACACCTGACCAGTGGGTTGACAGGTAGTGAATAGGAGAAAGATGGACCTTTGTGTTTAAGACAGAATGAGGAAGGGGATTTGGGGCCTAAAAACCTTGTATCTTGGCATTTCGGGGCTGCTCCTTTGCAAGGACAGCCGCCGGCTAATAAACCGTCTCCTGGTTAAGAGCACTCAAGTTGGGTCTGGTTATTCTGGACACAACAGCTCCCTTTGGTCGGGCCTCACATAAGTGAAAAAAGTCCCGTATTTCTTACCAGAGAGTTTCATTTTAAAATAGTACCGAGCCCAAATAATGTCGGCACGTGTATACCGACAACTTCTTTGCCATAAAGGCATCCTCGATCGGACATGCGGGTCTTCCCTAACTTTTTTTCATCAAGGGCCGCTGGAGGCCTTGTGCTCCAAGCATGGGACCAAGGAGGCCAGACCCTGTCGCTGGAAACCAGGGCAAAGCCATGAGCAGTGACTCAGGGCTCCTTGGGTGCATGTGTATAGTTGAAGCTGCCTGTCTGCATGTATCCTCTGGCTCCAATGCTGTCTGTTGGCTCTGCAGCACAATATGTAACCAATAAAGCTCCCTAGTTTCCATGTGCTCTTGTGTGAGTGTGAGTCAGTGATACCATTTTTGTTGATGTCATCTCTGTATACAATATCTTCTATGCATTGATGCAGCCAGGTATATTTCACTGTATTTTACTTAAAATACTTGGTCAATTACTGATGCTGCAAGGTCAGGAAACATAGCTGAGGCTTAGAAAAGGACATGCTTAGAACCCATAACGAGTTAGAATCATAGAGCAGCTATTTCATTGCTATATTTTTAGGCTTTTCTGTTGTCAGACAATCCTCAGTCTGCCTGTGCCACTCATTTAAAAAGCAAAAACTTAAAAGCACTGACATTGGATCAGACACCTTAACTCCCCTGGGTAACAACAATGACAGAGCTAGGCTCCGAAGCCCATACACCTTCCATTGAGTGCTGTTCTCACCTTTCGTCAGTTAACACCACTTGGTCTGATCCTGGTGTGCACATTTTCCCCATTGCTGTCACTCATTCCAAGACTAGGGAAAAAACTCTCTCCTTCATCTTCCAGTCAGACCATCAATGTAATGTCCCTTAAATCTCACTAAGACTAAAACCTCATTTAGAAAACACAAGTAAATTGTAATTTCCAGAAGCAGATCACATACATGTATTTTTAAGTAACAGTCTGTTAAGAGCCCTTGGGAAAGAATTGGTATTCTGGTCCCTACAAACTTTTACCTTACAAATCAAAAGATTTTGCAGATGTGATTAAAGATTTTGAGATGGAGATGATCTAGGTGGGTCTTAAATGATCACAGGTACCTTTATATCAGAGGGAGACAAAAATCTCTAAACATGAGGTGATGATAGAAGTGGAGATTGGAGTAATGATAAGATGGAGGGAGGGGGGCCACAAGCCAAGGATACAGAAAGCAACTAGAAGCTGAAGGCGGCAAGGAAATGGAATCTTCCATCAGAGCCTGCTGGGGTAATTTGTCACAGCAGCAACAGGAAATTAATACACCACTGAAGTTACCTAAATCCTTGATCTGCTCCTTGTGTAGCACTTGCCAAAATTTTTATATCAATACGTTGGATGAAAGTGGAAAGTTAACACATACCCATGGACGGAATTT